TTCTGGCCCAGCCCTTATCCCACGAGTGTCTGGATTTATCTCCCCCCCCACCGACTGGGAGCTTCTGGGGAGCCAGGCCCAGGGTCGAGGCTTCTCAGGTTCCCCAGACCCATTTGGTGAATGAATGAATGAGTGAGTGAGTAGTTTTCATATGCGTTTTCTGGGATGAGAGCTGCTGAGACCCTTCTCAGGCCTGAAGGACCTGGAGACAAAGCAGGTTGTTTCTGTGGTGATATGAGGAACCCACTGGGCTACCCTGGGATAACTCTGAGTTCTACTTCCCCATCTATGAAACAGGTATGGTGAGTCCCCCAGAGTTATTCAGAAACCCACAGACTTCACTGAGTGAGCAGCTGTTTGGGCTTCCACAAATCCAGTTGTCCTGTCCAGTGAGACCTGGGGAGGGTGAACAGCAGAATCCTGGGCAGGGGTCAGGGAATCGGACCTGGGCCTGTGAGGAGCTTCTCATCAACCACCTCGCCCACCCATCAAAGGCCCCAGAGTTCCTCACTGCTGCTCAGTTACTTGGAGGAAAATTAATACCAAGAAACTTCCCCTCCTTGGTGGAGCTGAGCCTCTAAGACTCTGTGCCTTCTGGTCATAAAACCCTTAAGGACAGATGGGTGACTACCTGGGGCCTGGGGTGCTACCCACAGAGGCACCCAGACCAGTAAAATCCTCAACACTCAGCCTTGCTGACAGGGAGGCCCAGAAGTTTGCCCGTCCGTCCATCTGTCCGTCCTTCTTTCCTTCCTTTTTATTTTTTTATTTTATTTTTTTAAATTTTATTTATTTATTCATGAGAGACACAGAGAGAGAGAGAGAGGCAGAGACACAGGCAGAGGGAGAAGCAGGCTCCATGCAGGGAGCCCGACATGGGACTCGATCCAGGGTCTCCAGGATCACACCCTGGGCTGAAGGCAGGCGCTAAACTGCTGAGCTACCAGGGCTGCCCCCTTCCTTCCTATTTAAAGATTTTGTTAATTTTTATTTTTGTTAAGATTTTGTTTATTTGGCAGAGAGAGAGAGAGAGAGAGCACGAGCAGGGGGAGTGGCAGAGAGAGAAGCAGGCTCCCCGCTGAGCAGGGAGTCAGAGGACATGGGGCTCCATCCCAGGATCCTGGAATCCTGACCTGAGCAGAAGGCAGATGCTTAGCCAACTGAACCACCCAGGTGCCCCAAGATTTTGTTTATTTATTTGAGAGAAGGAGCAGGAGTGAGGGTGGGGAGGTGAGGGAGAGGGAGAAACAGACTCTGCTGAGTGGGGAGCCTGACACAGGGCTCATCCCAGGACCCGGAGATCACGACCTGAGCTGAAGTCAGACACCCAACCAACCGAGCCACCCAGGCATCCTCCCAGAAGTTCTTTCTTATGTCAGGCCTGTGTGAGATTTTATGAGGTTTGCAACATTATCTGCTTGAAGGTTTAAGGAGCTATGAGTTAGGAAGGGCCTTGGTGGATGGTAGAGGGAAGGAGATCTTGGATGCATTAATAGAGGTCTAGCATAAGGTGGAGGGAAAGTAAACCTTCCTCCCCCACCTTCCGCTTGAGCTCTCAAACCCTAATCAGGAACCTCAGGGGGCTGAGAGGGTAGAGCAGCAGAATCCCTCCATTGAGAGAAACCTAAGACCCAGGGAGAAAAAGTTGGGAATGCAGGTAGCCAACAAAGGCCCAGTGTTCCATATGCAAAGAGTTCTTATAAATAAACAAGAAAGAAAAATGCAAGAAAAAGAACAACCGTTAATGGAACTCATTAAAACCAAATGGGCTACCCCAAGAGGTTCTCTTTTGCCCTGAAACCCTAAGAAAAGCCATTTAGCCATTTCAGTTCTTCTCCTGCCTCCCTTCTCCAAAGCCAAGTTTGGCTGAGTGGTAAATATTCATATTTGTCAAAGTATCTTCCTTCATTTTAAAACCCTTGTTTGGAACTTATAAAACACATTTCCAGTGAACTGATCCTTGGCCACTTAGGTTTAATGTTCTATTTAATAGATGTTTAATAAGTGCATATATAATATAAAAATAACATCTCATAAATACTTAATATGATGAATTTATACAAACCTGTATCAAAGGCTTTAGTCTGATTCTGATTTCCTCTTCTAACCTTTCCTCTTTTGAGCTCCTCATTCCGGATTTCTATGTTGGTTTAGACCAGGATATCTCAGCCTTAACGATGTTGATCTTTGGGGCTGAATTATCCTGAGGTAGGACTATCCTGTGTTCTGCAGGATGTTAATTTATGCAGCGTCCCTGGCCTCCACCCACTTTTTTTTTTTTTAAGATTTTATTTATTGGGATCCCTGGGTGGCGCAGCGGTTTAGTGCCTGCCTTTGGCCCAGGGCGCGATCCTGGAGACCCCGGATCGAATCCCACGTCAGGCTCCCGGTGCATGGAGTCTGCTTCTCCCTCTGCCTATGTCTCTGCCTCTCTCTCTCTCTCTCTGACTATCATAAATAAATAGAAATTTTAAAAAAATTAAAAAAAAAAGATTTTATTTATTTATTCATGAGAGACACACATGGTGGGGGGAGGGAGAGAGAGGGAGAGAGAGAGGCAGAGACACAGGCAGAGGGAGAAGGAGGCTCCAAGGCTCCGATGCCGGACTTGATCCCGGGTCTCCAGGATCACACCCTGAGCTGAAGGCAGGAACTAAACCACTGAGCCACCCAGGGATCCCCTACGCCCACTTATGCCATTAGCAGTACCTTACCTCCACCCTGCCCAAATCACGACAGCTAAAAATGTCCCCAAATATTACCAGGTGTTCCCTGGGAGATAGAGTCACCTGTTTGAAGATCCCTAATTTAGGCTCCAAACTGTAGATGGGGAGATGGGTAATCACTCTCTAAAATTTTAAGAGTCCTGGAGCACTTGGGTGGCTCAGGAGGTTAAGCCTTTGGCTTGGGCTCAGGTCATGATTTTAGGATCAGGACTTTGCACTCAGTGGGGAGTCTGCTTGTCCCTCTCCCTCTGCCCCTCCCCTTGTTCATGCTTTTTCTGTCTCTATAAAAAAAAAAAAAAGAAAGAAAGAAATCTTTTAAATAAATAAAATGAGATAAAAATTTTATGAGTGTTTAACGAGAATGTCTCTTTCCCAGGTGTTGAGTTCTGAGGTGTGCTATTGTTTTCCAGGATCCGTGGGTCTCTAGCCACAGGTGTGGCCCAAGAGAACACTGTGGCATTTCTAGTCTGATTTCCTTTTTTGGTGATATGGGTCTTTCTATTACAGTTTGTGAAGGTTTTTTATTTATTTTTTTCTATCCTTGAAGCTTCGGGGATCAGCACCAGGTTTGCCTGGGAGCACTCCTTTCCCATTGTCTATCCTGGACTTGGGCCTGTCTTTGGCTCAGGAAAATGTCTTTCTAGGATTCAGCTCATTCTTGTATCACATTCACCAGTACACAGTTTCATCCCAAGATTATTTGCCTTTTGAGGTCTCCCAGACCTGACTTCCAGCAGCTGAACCCCCAGGGCAGGCAGCCAAGCTGGGGTGCCACAGCAACTAGATGGGCTCTCTGCCACCGGCATGCAGGGTTTTGAAGCCGCTTAGGCTCCACTGGCCCGTTGCACCTGCCATTCCCTCCCCTGGGACCTTCCCCCCCAGATCTCAGCCATACTGGATCTTCTGTGCCATTCACATCTGACTTAAATGTCATCCAGACCTCAAAATCCAAATCTGCCACCCAACCCCATTTCCTCCTGTGGCTTTCATTGCCTCTTATCATTTCATTGAGGTTTTAATATGTTTGTTCTCCCTCAAGGGTCTGGGTTCCGTAGTGGAGAGATTTAGGTATCCTCTGTCTGCAGAAACCCAACATCCATGCACCAATCATTCAATACACATTTATTCATTCATTCATTCATTCATTCATTCATTCAAGACACACACAGAGAGAGGCAGAGACAAGGCAGAGGGAGAAGCAAACTCCCTGTTGAGGAGGAAGCCCGATGTAGGGCTTGATCCCAGGACCTCAGGATCATGACCTGAGCCAAAGGCAGACACCTAACCAACTGAGCCACCCATCGTCTGGATGGCTGTCCTGAGATGGAATCTCACATCGGGTTCCCTGCTCAGTGGGGAGTCTGCTTCTCCCTCTGCCACCCCCCACTTGTGCTCGCATTCTCTCTCTCTCTTTCTCTAATAAATCAATAAAAATTAAAAAAAAAACAAAAAAACGGGATCCCTGGATGGCGCAGCAGTTTGGCGCCTGCCTTTGGCCCAGGGAGCGATCCTGGAGATCCGGGATCGAGTCCCACGTCGGGCTCCCGGTGTATGGAGCCTGCTTCTCCCTCTGCCTGTGTCTCTGCCTCTCTCTCTGTGTGTGACTATCATAAATAAATAAAAAAATTATAAATAAATAAATAAATAATAAATAAATAAATAAATAAATAAATAAATCCTTTACAAAAAAAAAAAAAGTTATCATGTATTTTAGAAGGTGAAAAGTGGAAGAAAAGTAGAACAGGGTCTGAGACCAGGGCCACCAGTGAGATACTGTATCCCGAGGACTCCCTCCTGAGAAAGGGACGTTGGAGGAAAGGCAAGAAGTGAGGGAGGGAACCAGGTGCATATCCTGGGAAGAGTATTCCAGCCAGGCGGGAATAACCTGAGCAAAAGTCCTGAGGCAGGGTCATGCCCAGAATGTTTGAGGTCAAAACCCCCATAACAACACTCTTACATAGGGTTAATTCTCCTCATTTTTCATGGAGGCTCAGAGAGGTCCAGCTTCTTTTTCAGGGTCACACAGTGGAACCTGTGGGGTAGGATCTGAGCCCTGTGTCTGGGAGACACCTCGCTGGAGAGGCTTGGCCAGGCCGTGTGCAGAGACAGGGGCACATTGGAGAAATGGCCTCCTGGGTGCAGGCGGAAAGCCCTTTGTCCACTTCTAGGTGGAAATGCAAAGCCACTCTTCTTTGCTTCCAGGCAATAGCTGGCTGGGGTCGCTTGGGGCAAGTGGAGCCTTCCAGAATCTACTGACTGTGTCATGTTTTCCAGGTGCCAGTGGAAAGAACAGAGAGACCCCAGAACAGCACAGACAACCCTCGGCAGCCTGAGGTAAGTCCTAAGCTTCACGTATTCACTCAACAAATAGGCATTGAATGCCCACGAGGTGCCAGGTGCTGGCAGCTCCCTCATGCCTGCACAGTCCCGTGAGTTGAGGACTGCTCAGATGCCCCCTTTTACAGCTGAGGAAACTGAGGCCCAGGGAATGGAGGGCACACAGCCAGAAAGTGATGCAATTGGGATTTAGACCCAGGAGTTGGGCTCTAGAGTCTGTACCTCTCCAGGTGAGTCAATAAGTGTTTTAAGAATGGTTAAGTCCTACTTTGGGTCTAATCCAGCACTTTCATGCTGCACTGGAAAATAGCCCTTCAAATTTAGGGCTGAAAAACAGGGCAGATACTACCTCTCCAGACAAAAGGACATTAAGGGAATCCAGGGGAGCCTGGGATCTGGAAGGAAGACCAAGAGCTCTGCCTGGATATGGGGAAGGAAAACTTCTAGGAGTAGGCGACATTAGAGCTGAAGTTTTGAAGGATGGATAAGAGTTTGCCGGAGAAAACTTTAACAAATTTACTTTTATTCATAAATTGTATTCGTTCAAACACTCCCTGCTTTCCCCATGTGTCTGCCTCATGCTGGGCGATGCAGGGACCCTCCAGAAGCCCCCAGTCTCAGAAAAACAAAGCTAAACACAGACACCCCCATGGGATCAAGACTGGGTAGAGGTAGACAGAGCTTGAGGTGCCAAACAGACCCAGCAGTGTTCCTGAGGGGTTAAAGAGAACTTCCCAGAGAATGGATCATTTAAGATGGGTTATAAAGGAAGAGTAAGCGTTTAACAAGGAAGATAGCTCTGTTTGAAACATGCCAGGCCTAAGGGATCTGTGAAGAGCCGGGGCCATGCTCAGGTCACAAGACGATTAAGAATAGTCAAGAAGAAGGGTGCCTCGGTGGCTCAGTCAGTTATGTGTAGGCCTTAGTCTTGGGTCACATCCCAGGGTCCTGGATCAAGCCCTGCATCAGGCTCCCTGCTCAGCAGAGAGTCTGCTTCTCTCTCTTCCCTTCCCCCTGCATGTGGTCTCTCTTTCTCTCTCAAATAAATAAAATCTTTTATTTATTTATTTATTTATTTATTTATTTATTTATTTATTTATTTATTTATTTATTTATTATAGTCACAGAGAGAGAGAGAGAGTGAGAGAGAGAGAGACAGGGAGAGACACAGGCAGAGGGAGAAGCAGGCTCCATGCACCGGGAGCCCGACGTGGGATTCGATCCCGGGTCTCCAAGATCGCGCCCTGGGCCAAAGGCAGGCGCTAAACTGCTGTGCCACCCGGGATCCCTCAAATAGATAAAATCTTAAAATAATTGTCAAGAAGAATGGGTGATGGCTTGTTTCAGAATGCCAGCAGCAGGCACCTGGGTGGCTCAGTCAGTTGAGCATCCAACTCTTGGTTTTGGCTCAGATCATGATATCAGGGTCCTAAGATCGAGCCCCCCGTGGGGCTCCACGCTCAGTGTGGAGTCTGCCCCTCCCCCCACTCTCTCACTCACTCTCTCTGGAATAAATAAATGAAATCTTTAAAAAAGAGAGAGAGAGAATGCCAGCAGCTCTCAGCTTCCTGGAAGGACTGGGTTAGGACCCCAGTAGCTCTCAGGGTTAAAGAGGCAGTTCTTTGGGATCCCTGGGTGGCGCAGTGGTTTAGCACCTGCCTTTGGCCCAGGGCGCGATCTTGGAGACCTGGGATCGAATCCCACGTCGGGCTCCCGGTGCATGGAGCCTGCTTCTCCCTCTGCCTGTGTCTCTGCCTCTCTCTCTCTCTCTCTCTCTCTCTCTCTCTCTCTCTGTGACTATCATAAATAAATAAGTAAGTAAGTAAGAGGCAGTTCTTTGCCTCCCTCAGGGGGGCTCCTGGGCCATCTCTGAGGTAGAGACATGAGGAAGACCAGGTTCAAAGGGGGGATTCTGGGCACCCTGAGTCTGGGAGGCTCACCTTGGCATCTCCATGTCTCAGTCTTCTCTGTAAGTACTTAATCCCCAGCTGGACCTGGGCAACTGTCAGAGCCACCAGGGTTTGAGGTGCCAGAGGAGGAGGTGGGAGGCATGGGGGTATAGGTGAGGGTGCATCTCGATGTCATACCTCCCTGAGCACCTATAGGTCTGCAGCCAGGTGTTGGGGTCCACAGGTAGCTCACGGAAAGTGCTTGGCCCATCCCGTCTCATCAATGCATTCTTGGCAGGAGCCGCCAGGCTGACCAGGATGAGGTGCCACCGGCCCCTGCGGACAGAGGTGGGCTTGGCCATAGCCCTGAGCATTCTCATCCTCTTCCTCTTCTGTCTGCACGTGTCACCACCCACCTTTCAGAGCTCGGAGGAGCTACGGGACAACCCCAAGACTCTGGCCTGGCCCACTCGGCCCTCCCGCCCACTGCTCACCCCCTGCAGGGCCAACACCTCCATGGCTGCCCTGCCAGGCTTCTCTGGGCAGCCACAGCAGGTGCGCGACTTCCTCCTGCATAAACACTGCCGCGACTTCCAGCTGCTGCAAGATGTTCCGCTGAACAAGTGCTCAGAGCCTGTCTTCCTGCTGCTGGTGATCAAGTCCTCACCCAAGAATTACGAGCGCCGGGAGCTGGTGCGGCGCACTTGGGGCAGCGAGCGCCAGGTGAAGGGTGTCCAGCTGCGCCGCCTCTTTCTGGTGGGCACAGCCCCTAACCCCATGGAGGCCCACAAGGTCAACCGGCTGCTGGCGATGGAGGCACAGGCGCATGGGGACATCCTGCAGTGGAACTTCCATGACTCCTTCTTCAACCTCACACTCAAACAGGTGGGCCGGCAGGGGTCACCTGATCAGGGCCACCCATCCTTCCTGCCCACTCACCATCACCTCCTCTGAGGGGCCCCGAGGAACCAGGAGTCCCCACCCACCCTACCCCACTCCCTCTGCTGTCCTCATGGTGATCTGAGGTCTTCTTCCTCTAGGCGAGGCAGGGAGAAAGGGCAGGGTGGCCTGAGGTTACGAGCCTGGCTCTCAGAGCCCATGATCTGGGTTCGAATTCAGACTCTGCCACTTACCTGCCATTTGCCTTTGATAATCATTTACCCCTCTGCGCTCGTTTCTTCATGGTCATCAAGGAACCGGATTTAGTTGGATCCAGCTGCCTCTGAGGGCTGCTGTGAGGATTACGGGAGAGGATGTTTACAGGGCACCTGGAGTGGCACCAGGTGCTCCAGTAACAGTGACAATTGGTGGGGGTGGAGGGGCACTGGACAGGATGCATCTCGTTTATTTGTTCTTATTCTCTCTCCCCATGAGGCCCACATCTGTGCAGTTGATGCTCAGTAAAGACCTTTTAGCTGGACAAAACCCCTCCAGAAGTGGAGGGAATTCTACCTGTGCGCAGATGAGGAATTAGAGGCTCCAAAGACCCACCCAGGAGTTGAAGGGGGCCCAAGGCAGGTTCCTGCTCATAGTAGGCACAGAAAAGTCTGGGCTCAAGACCTTGAGTACCAAGAACAGTACTTTTCTGTGTGTGACCCTGTTCCTGGCATTTTTTCTGGAGATCCTCTATTTCCTCGTCTGTAAATGAGGTTGAAGACTACTCCTGCCTCCTAAGCTTGCATGAGCGATTCGAGACAGGGGAGGCACTGAGCAACGTGCAAGGCATGCAGCAAAAGTTATTATGGAGGAAGCTGAAGCCGAGGTGGGTAGAGGGCCAGGGCCTCTCGACACACCGTGTTCTTCATGCAGAACACAAAAACATGTAATAAATGTCCATTTGACAAACATGAGTCCAGTACCTATGAGAGGATGACCCTCAGTGGGTGCTGGGGAGATGTCACAAGGAGGAGAGACAGTGCCCACCCAAGGGAAGCCTAGAGTCTGGTGGGGAAGGTAGACGTCAATAACAATCACATAAGTAATTATTTAACAGCAGTGCTTGGCCAGGAAGAGTCAGAAGGAATAGCAATAAATGTAAATGCGACAATTTTCAAGCACTTCATGGTGCTTCACAAGGATCATCTCCATGGATCCCCAACACTCCCAGGGGCAGGTCCTATGATGAGGTCTGTCTGGAAAGTTGGTAGCTGAGGCTCAGGGTGGGTCCTCAAACCCATGGCTGGCCTGACCAGTAACACCCTCAATTGGGCTCCCTGGGATGGGGTGGCCAACAGGGACCCAAGGCTGATTGCCCCAACCCTTAAACTTGTGTGTCCCGTCCACCTTGCCTGCAGGTGCTCTTCTTACAGTGGCAGGAGACTCGGTGCACCAATGCCAGCTTCGTGCTCAATGGGGATGATGACGTCTTTGCACACACAGACAACATGATCTCCTACCTGAAGGACCACAATCCTGACCGCCACCTCTTTGTGGGACACCTGATCCGCAATGTGGGCCCCATCCGGGTGACTTGGAGCAAGTACTATGTGCCAAAGATTGTGACAGAGGAGGAGCGCTACCCGCCCTACTGCGGGGGTGGTGGCTTCCTACTGTCCCGTTTCACGGCTGCTGCCCTGCGCCGGGCTGCCCCCAAACTGGACCTCTTCCCTATCGATGATGTCTTCCTGGGCATGTGCCTGAAGAAGGAAGGCCTGGAGCCTGCATCACACAGTGGTATCCGCACAGGTGGCATTAGGTCTCCCTCGGGCCGCATATCCTCCTTTGACCCCTGCCTCTACCGGGAGCTGCTACTCGTGCACCGCTTCTTGCCATTTGAGATGCTACTCATGTGGGATGCCCTGAGCCAGCCCAAACTCATCTGTGGCAAGCAGTCACAGATCTACTGAGGTAGTATCAGGACCCCTAGCCTCTAGGCCCTGATCTCTACCCCTGTAGAAAGGGGCAGCAGCATCTTCCTCCCCAGAATTGGAAATCTTTGTTCTAAGTGGTCAGCATAAGAGAGTGTCCCCAGGGAGGTTTGGATGAGTGAATAGTCTAGCTGACAAACTCCTAGACATCTTTCCAAGCCACCTGGTACTTGAACCCATGTTCCATCATCCTCTCTAGATTCTCAGCTGAAGGGACCTCCTCTTTCCATGGCAGCTAACTGCAGGAGCCCTTCTGGTAGGCTTCCAGTTGTTCCGTTTGAGTCAAGGTCCCTTTTTCCAGCTCCGACTTTGATCTTGGGTTGGATTTTAAAGGGTGGCCAACCCCTCCTTGGTTGTAAACTACAGTGGTTTAGTGGTAGGTGAGTCCCAGCCATGCTTCAAGGTCAGTTGGGAATTCCTAGGTCCATTTGCAACTGAACTGAGCAGTATTTCTCAGCCTAGGAAAGAAGTTTTGTTCTCAACCTCTCCCTGCCAGTCTCCACACACCTCAGATGGTAGAAGGGGCCAGAGAAGCCATGAGTGGGACTGCCCCCTCCCTGCTCATGGTATCAAGTGCTCTAAAGGCAGAAGCATTGGGCACAGAAAGGAGGCAGCTGTCTGACTCAGGCTATGCCAGCTCAGGGTTTCTGGAGTCCCTGATGGGGCCCAGCCCCCACATTTGTGCTCTCCAAGAATTCAGGTAATGGTACTGGGGCCAGAGAGTCTTCACTGGGCCCACAGTCTGCACACATGCTCACCCCAGTGTTCAGAGAAGAGAGAGATTCAGATCCTTGGGTGTCTGTGAGCTCTGAGGACCCAGGACTGGCCGCTGCCCCAGTATGTCTTTCAGACTGGGGAGACCCAAGCAAAATGGTGACACCTTAGTTCTGCTGACTCTGGGCAGAGGTCTGGGGCCTGGGTTTCACAGGCATTCACAGGTAGGAGGAAGTCAGACAGCAGAATGACCACTGGGGAATGGGTACTCAGGGAATAAAATGTTTTGTGAAGACCTGAGATTTTTTTTAAGTGATTTATTTATAAGTTTTAATTCAGATAACTCTACAATCTGTAGAAGTCTCATTTCCAATAGAAAATAATGCACCAATAAAAATGGCAGGGATGAAATGAGGGCTGTGGAGCTTCCATTGGGCGGGTCTGATGCCATCCTGCCCCTGCTCACACATCCTCCATGGTTCTCTATTACCCTCAGATCATATCCCACCAAGACAGTCTCACTACCAGTTCAATGGCACGCTCAGGAGAGGCACAGCGGTGAGACTGCTCCTGGCTCCGTGGGACAGCGGGTTTGCCTTGGCCTCTTGCTTCCAGCCAGGCTCCCTTCTTTCCACCAGACTCCTCTCCCACTAGCACTGCGGCTTTCCTGTCCTCCATCACACCCTCTTTCCCTTCCATAAGCATTAATTGTGTGTACCTCCTGTATGCTGCACACCTTGCCCTATACTCCTGCTCCCAGCCCCATTAGGATGGCAGATACCCACCTAATAGTGAGAAACAAACCTGTGAACAATCAAATAGGAAGTTATCAGAAGTGGTAAGAGCTTCAAGTAGTAAAATGAAGTAACTAGATGCAACAGTGATGGGAAAGAGTATTAACTGAGAGATCAGGGGACTGGGACAGAGGAGGGGACATTGGATCTGGGACCTGAAGAAAGAGGACATGGCCTTGGGAAGAACCGGGAGAAGGATATTCCAGGCAGAAGGCACAGGATGTGCAAAGGCCCTGAGGCGGGACAACCTGGAAGCATTCAAGTTGCAGCAAAGAAGCCCTGGCTGGAGTTTGGTGAGACATGAAGTCACAGGGGCTGGCCACATGGGGACTTATGGGCTGGGGTGAGAGGAGTTATCTTGGGAGTGATGGCACTTTGGGAGCAAGGAAATGACATGATTGATTTTTACGTTTTAAGAAGCCCTGTGGCTGCTGTGTGGACTGTTGGAAAGGGAGGTGGAGGCTGAAGCAGCATCCAGGCAGAGAAGACAGGCCTGGATGAAATGGGGGCTCTCAGGAATTTCTAACCTATATCTGACCTCATCCTGCCCCTGCTCACCCATCCCCTGGGGAGAGAGTCCTGCTCCCCTGCTGCTCCGGGTTGAACAATATACAGCCCCCAGAGCCTTAGAATATGGCCCTATTTGGAAATAGGGTCTTTGCTGGGTCACCTGGGTGGCTCAGTTGGTTAAGCACCTGACTTCATTTTGGCTCAAGTCATGGTCTTGGGGTGGTGAGATCAAGTCCTGTGTCAGACTGCGCTCAGAGGGGAGTCTGCTTGGGATTCTCTGCCTTTTCCTCTGTCCCTCCCCTCCCTCAAATAAATAAATACATCTTTAAAAAAGAGAGAGAGAAAGGAATAGAGTCTTTGCAGATATAATTAAGGTAAGGATCAAGGTGAGATCATCTTGGATTAAGTGGGATGGGCCCCAAATCCAATGACAGTGTTTTTTACAAGAGACAGAAACGAACACACAGAGACGCGGAAAAGAAGGCCACGTGAAGACAGAGACAGAGCTTGGAGTCCTGCATCTAGAAGCCAAGGAAGGTCAGGGATTGTCAGCAGCCACCAAAAGCCAGGAGAGAGACTCAGACCAGGTTCTTCCTCAGAGCCTTTCAGAAGGAAACAACCCTGCCACACTTTGACTTCTGTCTCTGGCTTCTAGAATTGCAAGGAAAGAAATCTCTATTGTTTCAGGACTCCCGATTTCTGGTAATTTGTTATAATGGATTTAGGAAATTAAGACACGTGACTGGCTCACATAGTCAAATGCGGTCGTTCTGCCTCAGGAGTCCTAGCACGCAAGTTCTATCTCAGGGTAAAGGGAGGGGCAAGGAAAATTGTCAGAGCTGGAACAGTAGGTGTCCACTGTGATCCATTCCCATGTCTGTGTGTCTGTCCATCGTATAGTGTGGACTTTAAGCGATGTTAAGCGCCACCCCCCCCAGGTGGGTCTTGACAGATAATCTGGATTGGAATCCTGCACTCAGCCATTCCCTCTCTGACCTTGCAAGCAACTGTCTCCCCTAGCCTCAGTTTCCCCACTTCGTATGGTGATGACTCTGAAATTGCTATCAAGCTTCTGAAAGTATTGATGGGTCCATGGCTGGTGGGGAGGGGGAAAGACAACCTGCACAAAGGCTGAGGTAGGCTTATCCGTCTTTCTTCAGAAAAATGGAAAAAGCTGGGACACCTGGGTGGTTCAGTGGTTGAGCGTCTGCCTTTGGCTCAGGTCATGATCCCGGGGTCCTGGGATCTAGTCCCATATTGGGCTCCCCACAGGGAGTCTGCCTATGTCTCTGCCTCTCTCTGTGTGTCTCTCATGAATAAATATATAAAAAACTTAAAAAAAAAACTGCTTCAGATTCTGCAAGAGCTTCATTTATTCACTACTGAGGAGAAATAGCAAGGAGGGTGGCACAGATGGGAGGGTGACGCCTGAGGCTCCTTGGAGGGGCAGACAATTGGCCATGAGTATCTGGCATCTCTGCAAAACCAAGGATCTTCCAGCCAGGATGGAGGTAAGATTTTTCTTTTTTTTTTTTTTCTTTTTTTTTGCAGTTGGCCCCACAGAGGAAGGCAGCCTGGGGGAGGTGGGGAGCATGGGGAGATAATTCTCACCATCCTCCCAGATAGGGCTTGATGGTGCTGTGTGGCTTCAGGAGGTCACCAGACCAGATCTGTCTGGGTCTCCGGACCCTCTGAAGCCACACCTGGGAGGGTTCAGTGAGGACACAGGGTCAGCAGGTCCTGTCGTGAGCAGCCGCTGAGGCAGCAGTAGTGTGCGGGATTGGTGTCAGCTGCTCGCTGGTGGTGGTGATGGAGAGAGGCCTGGGGCAGGGCCTGTGGAACGAGAACCAGCATGGGGTCCCCATCGGACACCTGCCCATGGAGATGTCGTCCTTCCAGCCACTGCAACAGCTCACCTGGGGACAGAGCAGAATTCAGCATGGACAGGGGACCCTAGGGGAGCCCTCCCCAAGATATGCATAGACCTGCACACTCACGTCCTGCTGAGTGACCCACCAAACACTCATCTTGGGCACAAATAGAAAGTGAGCGCCTATTAAATGCCTACTATATGCTGCACTGAGCACAGATGTGTGCATCCAGTGTGTGCACTCTCAACCCACACCCACGCTCAGGCCCCCAGCTGTGCACATTCCCACAAGCCAGCTATCACACAGACGTACAGACACTTCACAAAGCCAAAGACAGCAGGGGTGACATGCGACATATACATGTGCCCATGTGTGCAGGCAGTGGGCTCACATGGACATGCACATACACAGGCACATACCCTCACAGCCCTTCCCAGTCCCCCCCCCATGTGTGCCCCTGCACATCCGTCTGCATCTGTGTCACAGAGATGGATACATATAGGCCACACATGTGTGACACACGGGCATACACCCCCCCCCTCCCGGTTCATACCCTCTGCACCAGGGCCTGGCTTGGGTGAGAAGAGCGCACACTGGCCTCAACGCACAATTTAAGGGGGCGCCAGGGCACTCAACAATGAAGACCCATTACATTTTAATGCAATGTTTCTAAAAATCAAAAGTAATGCAAAAATTCACGAAGATCAAAGTACTGAAATTGTAAATAAGACGGGATCTGCCCCGTGCACTCGCTCGTCACGCACAGATTCCGGCCTGGCAGGGGACGCATCCTTCGCGAACTTGCGCACACCAGCGTCCGGGCAAGCGGACCGGGGCGAGCGGACCGCGGCGCGTGCGTGCAAACCCACCCGCCTGCCCCGACGCCCACCAGCGCCCCGTGCACCTGCCCCGCCGAGAAACCCCGGGGCTCGGTTCGCGCCCGCCCGCACTCACGGTCGCCGCCAGCCACCCGCCGCCCGTCCTCGGAGGACCAGCGCGGGCCCCCGCACACCCGCACCAGCGCCCGCACGAAGTGGTGGCCACACAGCTTCTCCCGCGCTCCCGGAGCGGGCGCAGAGCCCAGCGCCAGCGCCGCGCCCAGCAGCACCAGTGCCCAGGCGAGCGCGCGGGGGCCCATGGTGGCAGGAGGCCGGCCCCAGCGGGCACCCTTCTTATAGGCGTCCAGCCCGCCCCAGCTGAGGACCTTGGATGGGGACGGAACATTCTGCCCACAGCTCAAGGAGAAGGTCAAGGGTGGGGTGAGTGCAAGTGTAGTGTAACCCCAGCAGTTGGGTTTTCTCTTTCTCTCTCTCTCTCTCTCTTTTTTTATAAGTTATCTCTAAGCCCCACGTGGGGCTCGAACTCACAGCCCACAAACCCGAGATCCTGAGTTGCATGCTCCACCCACTGAGCTAGGCTTTTTTTGTAGTGTCTGATTTAAGCTCTGAGTGCCCAGGCACCCCCTTCAAGGATGGCTGTTTGGAATAAGTCTATTTGCCAGCAACACCACTGGATAGAGCCAGGGCGCCTCCCCGCACTGAAGGCTCTCTTGTTTGAGGGGTTTGGGTGGGTTTTGATAACTGGCCTTTGGGACCACTTGTTTTTTTTTGTTTTTTTTGTTTTTTTTTTCCCTTCTGGCACTTAACATTCCCACTCCTATGTTTTAGGTTTATCAATAAACAAAGAGTCCTGGGAGACCCAGGCTCCCATTGTGAACCCCAGTAAAAGCAGAGGCCCAGCCAGTGAACAGGTGGCTCTCTCTCTGTTCCCCACCTCCTCACTGTGTGGCCCTGGGGTGCTGTACAATTCCCAGGTCTTGTAAAGAATAAGCCTTTACTTTTTTCAGTTTCCTGATGGTTGTTGCTGAAGGGTGTCCTACAGTCAGCACCACAGAGGCCAGTCCAGGCACGCACTGGATATTGACAGGCTGGGATGTAACCACTACAACCTCCCACCCCTGCCAATTCCTATGTTTAAGCCCTACTCCCCATCGTGAGGGGGTCTGTGGATGTGGGGGCTTTGGGAGATCATCAGGTAGTGGAGGTGGGGGGCTCGCACTGGGATTGGTGCTCTAAGAAGGGGTATGAGAGAATGTGCCCGACATCCCGTCCCTCTCCATAAGAGGACCCGGCCAGAAGACCGCCAGCTGCAAGCCAGGAGATATCCTCAGCAGACCCCGACTGTGCTGGCACCCTGACTTCCAGCCTCCAGGGCTATGAGAAGTGAGTGTCAGTGTTGAAGCCACCGGGGCTTTGGTTCAAGCAGCCTGACCGTGCTGAGCCAGTTCCTGATGTGACCGCAGGGAGGAGTCCCCAGCAGCTGTAAAGGGAAGAGAGTTGTGTGCCCTCAGCTCAAAACGTTAAATTCCTGCTCTATGACTTTTTTTTTCTTTTAAGATTTTATTTATTCGTGAGAGACATAGAGAGAGGCAGAGACATAGGCAGAGGAAGAAGCAGGCCCCTGCAGGGAGTCCGATGCAGGACTCGATCCCAGGACCCCAGGATCAAAACCTAAGCTGAGGGGATCCCTGGGTGGCGCAGCGGTTTGGCGCCTGCCTTTGGCTCAGGGCGCGATCCTGGAGACCTGGGATCAAATCCCATTATCGGGCTCCCGGTGCATGGAGCCTGCTTCTCCCTCTGCCTGTGTCTCTGCCTCTTTCTCTCTCTCTCTCTGTGACTATCATAAATAATAAATAAATTAAAAAAAAAAAAAGACCTAAGCTGAAGGCAGATACTCAACCACTGAGCCACCAGGTGCCCCCAGCTCTTGGTGCCCCCATTCTAGGACTTAAATCTACCAATAAAGAGTAAGCTGGGGAAACTGTAGGCCCCCCGCCCTAGTCCCCAATAAAAGCAGAGCCCCAAGCCAGAATTGGTCTCTGTTTCTATGCATGACCTCACTGTGTAGCCCTAGGTCCGCTGTGTGACTCTGAGGTCTTGTGAGTAATAAACCTTTACTTTTTCAGTTTCCTGATGGATGGTGCTAAAGGGGATCTAGCAATCGTAATAAGAACCACAAAGATGGTTTTAACCTCAACACTGTTTATTAATAGCTGAGAGCGCCACAAAACAGTGAAGGTCTCTCTCTGCCTGGGCCAGGGCCCTGGGTGTGCCTCCCCTAGGGGGAGCACTGGCTGAGGAGTCTTTTTAAAAACAACTATTTTAGAGAGGTGAACTAGATAAATAGAATAATTTTGCAGGGTGGTGGTCGGGCATCCAGCCAACTGAGAGCAGGGACAATCAGAAGATTGTTGTCCTTATTCCTGTATAAGTAAGGAAACTGAGGCTGGGGGGGTGGTGCTGGTCACCACACTTGTCCATGGTCACAGCAGGCTGGGGCTGTTGGCTGGCTCTGTCTCTCCCACATCGGTCTCTTTGGGTGGGGCAGGGACTGGAGGGCCCAGAATGAAGTTGGCTGCGTTTGCTCATTATGACCTCAGTTTACTGAGGAGGGAACCAAGCAGAGGGAAGGCAGGATACTCCATCCAAGGCAAGGGAGGGCCGGAGCTGAAAACCCTGTCTTGCTTGAGCCCAGACCAGCCCCCTCCTGCTTTTCACCAAAGCAGGTGGCTTTCTCTGGGCTAAGAGGGTAGGCCAGAGAGACAGAGAGAGAGAGAGAGAGAGAGAGAGAGGACTGCCTCCTCCTCCACTGTGTCTTTCTGTTACTCCTCGTATCTGTCCCGCAGTCCTAAGAGAGACTTGCTTGTTCCCCACTAGTGTTGGACCCCTCCCCACAGCCTCCCAACCCAACCTTGCCCTTGGCCTCCCCCCCAGAGCAGCCTGTTCCTTCCACCCAACCAGAGCCTGTAATCAGTTCCCAGAGCCAAGGCCAGCAGCTGGAGCTGGGGGGAGGGCTCTTGTCCTCCAGGACCACAGCCCATGCCCCACCCTGCTGTCTCTCCTCCCCCAGACAGCCCTGAGGCTTCCATTGTGGCCCCCAGGGGGTCTCCACCCCCCCCCAACACCAGCCCTAACCACATTCCTCCCCAGCTCACAGTGGGGGTGGGGGGCACAAATTCCCCATCACCCAAGTCCAGCAACATACCATTCTTTGCACAGAACTTTATTCATTCAACAAACGTTCTGTGCCCTTTCCAGCCCAGCCCCCAGGGAGCCTCCAGGTCAGAGGAGGTGGATCTAGACAGACACCCCAGCCCTAGGGTTGGAGGGAAGTACAGGGCTGGTGAGGAGTGGTGTAAGCATTACAAGGAAGCCTACAGGGAGGTGATAGCTGGGGTTTTGAATGATAAATAAGAGTTTTCCAAGGGGTGAAAGTGGCAGAAAAGCCTGCAGGCAGGCGAGGAGTGGGGGGGGAGGGGGCTTAACCTGTGCCAGATGCCTTCTCACAAACTCCAGAAGCTGACTGTGTACAGCAAGGCACCAATACCATTTATCTGCCCATTGTACAGGGGATAGAACTGAGACCCCGTAGGGGAGGCAACTTGCCCACCATCCCACAGCAAATAAGATGCAGAACCATGGGTTCTAACACCTGGGTTCTTAACCTCTGTACTCTGAGCCTTCTCACTATCACCTCACTGTTCCCTCTGCCAAGAAGGCCTTTCCTTCCCGCAACTGCTGAAAAGCTCCTGTAAGTCTCCAGTGTCATCAATCATGTGACCCTCTGGTCCAGACAGAAGGGCGAACTGAAGCCCCGGGGCGATCTGGTACAGTTAGGGTAGACCAGGACCCCAGCATTTCCTGGACCCTCACATGATCCCAAAAAGTTTTACAGGCTCCCCCAGAAAGTCAATTTCCAGCCGGGGCAAGCTGCTCTTGTCTGTGGCTTCCTCCAGCAAAAGAGGGATGGGGAGGACAGAAGCCTGAGAGCATATATTTAAAGCTATGCAACGTCTTCACTGAGACAGGAAGCTCAGGGCCAACCCTAAGAGGATAGGAAGATGGGAGGGACTTAAATTTGTTTCCTCAATTCTGGGGCCAATGCATTCATCCTGAAAATCTACATGTTCCTAAGGCCACAGGACTCTTGTTGCCTCACAAGCCAGGGATGGCCCCCCAATTGCAATGTCAGCTGCCCCACGGGGGTGGGGGGGGAGTCTGTAGAGCAGGAAGCCCAGAGAGGAGCAACTTCCTGCCCAAGGTCACATAGCCAGTCCACAGAGACCAGAACCCAGGGGTATGTGCGCAGGAGATATAAAAATGAAGTGAGTGGGTTTCTCCTTCCAGACAAGCAGAGAAGGCTGAGTCTCACACTACGCTACCCCCCGGCCTCCACTCCAGAGTGCATCCAGCTGGGGGCCGAGGGCACTGAATGTTGGTCGGTCGTTCGGGCTGGGGGCCCAGCACAGCTTCATGAGCTCGTGAACCTGAGGGGGCAGGAGGAGACAACAGGATCACATGTGAGCATAACTCCTAGTCACAGCTTTATTTATTTTTATTTTTTAAAGATTTTATTTATTTATTCATGAGACACACACACACACAGAGACAGAAACATAGGCAGAGGGAGAAGCAGCCTCCCTGCAAGGAGCCTGATGTGGGACTCGATCCCAGATCTTGGGATCATGTCCTGAGCTGAAGGCAGATGCTCAACCACTGAGCTTCCCAGACGTCCCCTAGTCACAGCTTTAAAATATAAATTAGACTCCATCCCTTCCTCTGCTCCAAAGCCTGCCATAGCTCCCTACATGTCTTAGAACAAAATCTCATCCCCTCCCTTACCTCCTTCCATCACCTCCTCTCTTGTTCCCTGCAGCCACATCTGCCCCAATCTCATTATTTAAATGCATCAAAATGGGGATGCATGGGTGGCTCAGTGGTTTAGCGCCTGCCTTCGGCCCAGGGCATGGTCCCAGAGTCCCGGGATCGAATCCCAGATCGGGTTTCCTGCATGGAGCCTGCTTCTCCCTCTGCCTGTGTCTCTGCCTCTCTTTCTCTGTCCCTCATGAGTAAATAAGTAAGTAAAAATCTTTAAAAAAAAAATAAACACATCAAACTCATTCCCACCTCAGGGCCTTTGCACATGTTCTGTCCACCACTGAAGAATGCCCTCTCCCACCTTTCCCCAGGGGTGGGCTCCTCTTCCTCCTTCAGGATCACCCCCCCTCAGGGGCCCTCCCTGACCACCACCACACCACCTCATCTGCCCCTGTTCAACTCTTTCCAAACACTGATAACC